TTTTTGCACTAAATATTGTTTATAAAATCCCCTAAAAGTAATTAGATGTTGCATTTTTGGCTTTTAGCATCTATAAATGATCCTTAACAATACTGCATCGATAGTTTGCTGTTAAATTTTATGTTACGAAAAAAATTATCTGCCCTGGCCTAATTGGAAATTGTAACAGGGTTGACTCGATGTTGTAAAGAATCCAGAAAGAGGCGACCCACTGCTAGTTACAAAGAAACACCCATCATCCAGCGTCCGATTGTCGAGCGGCCAGATTTGGCATCAAAAACAGACTGCTATGGCCATTGGCCAGTACGTACCAACAAAGGAAGGTGCAGACACTGTGCAAAAAGTACAAGTCGCCTCAAGTGCGAGAAATGTGATAGCAGACTCTGCCTTACCGAATCAAAAAACTGTCCAAACGTCAAAAAAACGTCACTTTGTTAACACCTGTCAAAGTGTTAGAAATATTTCTATGCTGCTGGGCAAATTCAGCGGGTTAACACCTGTCGAGGTGGTAGAACTTCATGCTGCTAGGCAACCGCAACGGCAGTAAAAGTACTTTTAGTGCCGCTTGTACTGTTACTGCCGCTCAACCATGCAGTTACCCCCGAGCTTACCCCATTCGTTTGGAGAAAAATAGAGTGTTGCATACGGAGTACAAGCACTCACTACGTTCGGCTCGCAATCCCGTGTGGTTGCCTATCCTTGTCTTGTACAAGAAGTTGGAAAAGGACATTGCATAAATACGCTGGATCTATTTTACTACGCGGAGCAATGTGGTGTTTATAATGTGCATCAAAGTTGGAGCAAAACAAACAGGCACCTTGTCCTGTCTCTACAGTATTGTAGGTATATAGTCTAAGGTTTTAATGGGGTGTGTGACCATATGGTCACGACTCCTGACTTTGTTTATTATACAACTACAAACATAAAACTACTAAAAGTATTATATAGATAGTATACCTCCTAATAGTGTAGTATTATTTTTTAATAATAATTTTAATAACTTGCCCGATAAGGGACAAAAAAAATGATGTAACCATAATGGTCACCTATAAACATTCTTTGCCTAAACTGATAAAGGGATATCGTCATTCGATTGTCCGTAGTCGCTTATACAAAACTTTTGAAAACCCCTGCAGATATTTCCAATTTCGATGCAGCATCTGATTGGGCTTGGAATAGCGCAACTTTTTTCCCCATTTAACTAAAATTGTTTCTTTTACCGTTTTCGAAATCCCCATGTATTTACTTTTATGTGAGACACCCTGTATATGAACTGGGTTATTCACTATACAGGGTATCCCAGCCGAAACTCACCCATTTTAAATGCTTATAACTTTTAAACCAGGTGTGCTAGCTACCTCCGGTTTGCGCCAATCGATTTCTCTTGACCTAAAGTTTTTTGTAGTAGGTTGCAAATTTTTTTGCCACTTATTCAAGGCGATTGAAAAAAGTCCGTTTTTTGAACATCGAAATTCTCCACTATTTTTTGGAACACCCTGTATATCACAACGCCAAAACAAAAGAGTCATGTTAAAGGTTCCATGTACCAATAAACATCATCCTTGTAACTTGAAGTTTAGCCGTAAATAACTGAAATTGAAATCCTGGTATTTTTGAAAACGCATGCAACTTCATGTTGTAGGTACTTGCTATCACTATGGCAAACAATTTTGTAACTGTTAAGTTAGATATCAAGTTACAAGTTGAAATACATTTTCCAAGAGAATTTAACGAGTTCCAGTAAGAATACCGAGATACCCCAATCTCTGTTGAGAAAAAATACGAACCATTTTTTATTAATGAACCAACAATAACAGGATCTGTATACCGAGCTGTAAACAGTTATATAATTAGAAATTTCTTTTATCCACAATTAAGACGGGAGGATATCTTGGATGATATCTATTTTCAGCAGGATGGTGCCCTACCTCATTATTGTTTAATAGCAAGGAAATCATTAGATATAACACTTGGAAAAAGATGGATTGGGACAGCTGGTTCTATAGAATATGGACAACTTTACTCTCCCGAATTGACAGTTCCAGACTTATTTCTTTGGAATTATATGTCAAGGAGAGATCCAGTCATCCTTTACCAAATAGCCTGGAAGATCTCAAGTGGAAAATTCGTAATTTCATTGAAGCGATTCCCCAGGAAATGTTACACCATTTCTTCAACCCTACTGATCCATAATGGCTAAAATATACAGCAGTTTTTATAGTTTTATGCGGTTTTTATTAACTTTTTAGTAGGCAAACATAATTTCCAAGCCTTGTAAATATGCTAATAAAAAATACCAGTATTTCGATTTTGATTTGAAGTTTAAAGGACGATGTTTATCGATACATGGATACCTTGAACATGACTCTTTTTATTGACCTTATGATATACAGGGTGTTCCATTAAAAATAGTGGAGAATTTCGATGTTGAAAAACGTGTTTTTTTTCACTCACCCTGTATAAATGGCAAAAAAATTTGCAACTTACTACAAAAAACTTTAGGTCAAGAGAAATCGAATGGCGTAAATAGCGGGTAGCTAGCACACCTGGTTTAAAAGTTATAAGCATTTAAAATGGGTCACTCTCGGATGGAATATCCTGTATTTCGACCCCCCACCTGCAGCCTTTACCTTTACAGGTAGATGATAGGTCAAAATACAAAAGGTTGTGCACTTTTAGCTAAATTTTTAGAATCCATCATCAGAAAACAAAATTTATTATCAGAAATTTGAAAATTTGCATACTTTTAACTTTTTGCATTTCATTTGAAATGCCCTATAAATGTTTCTATATTTTCAAAGAACACAATTTTCCGATTTCAAAAAAATATAGTTTCTCTATATTTGGTTGAGCCGTTTCCAACATATTTGGCTCTAAAAATTTTAAAAATACTATCAGAGAAACCTATCGGAAAATTGTGCTCTTCAAAAATATGGAATCAAATATAGGGCATTTGAGTTGGAAAAAGTTGAAAGTAGGCAAAATTTCAAATTTATGACAATAAATTGTTGTTTCCGACGAAGGATTCTGAAAATTTAACTAAAACTGCACAACTTTTGTACTTGCATCTAGCATCTACCCGTAAAGCTAAAGGCTGCAAGTAAGGGGTCAAAATATAGTGAATAGCCCGGAACATCCAGTCATCAATGTAATTGAAGAGATGGGCAACCAATTCAATACTATAGTATCACTACAAGGGCTTAACCACCCAACAAAAAAGTGAATCCAACCAAAACAAAAATAAACACTTTCAGGATTAAAAAACAGTATTCTTTAATCTAAAAAAAAAAAACACTTAGGAAAGAGAGGCTGAATTGCTGAATTACTTTTTTCACAGATCTACAACAACTTGGCCAATTCAATAACGACAATAACACAAACTTCCAGGCCCTCAAAAACTGTGAATATGTATTTCAAAGCTTGCACTACAGCATCTTGAATCCTAAGACATTCTGAAATGCCCACAAATGGTTATGGTGTGAGTATATAAAACATAACCATAGAATAAAAATTTAGCAGCAGCAAAAGACTTTATTTGATTTCTGCTTCGATTAATCCCTAAATTGTGATTTTAGTTGTTCTAAAACATTTCTGTGTGTAGTTGAAAAAAAAAAAACTCACCCCCAAATCGATATAATTTAGGCAATCATCCATTTCCTAACACTGACACAATTAAAATAAAATATTATATGAAAATAAACGCTCTTCGTAAATATATTATATTTCAGCCTTGTCTCATAAATAATAAAGAAACTGTAGTCCTCTTATACCTGTAATAAACCACAGTTGAGAGAAAAAAAAAAAAGAAGTAAACAATTTTTTCTTCTTATCAGCATTTCTTATTGGTGTGTTAAATTCAATTATTCAAATTCATATATTCAAATACCCTACACTTCAAATTCGAAGATCATAGGACAGTTATGGCATCTTTGGATTTAAATAATGCCTATTTTCTGGTGCCTATTAAAAACTAGTACATATAAAAAATACTTACGCTTCAGGATTGCACCATACAGTTTTACGAAAATCATGAAACTTGTTGTGAAGGTCTTAAAAGAGGAAGAGGGTCTTTATCAGTAATTTATTTGGATGACTTACTTTTATTAGATAAGACAGAAAACGAATGCATATAAGGGAAACAACAAAAATTTTAGGTAAATTGGGATTTGTCATCAATGCTCAAAGACTTCTATTTGTCCAGCTGCGATATGGATGGCTATACACCAAAAATTTCGAGAAAGAGAAATTTTTGGCGTTGAGTCAATTTTGTAAGAAAAATGTATATCCCTGCTAATCTTACAAGGGACTTCAATGGGCGGTTAGAAAATATTATTTAACTCCTCATGGATTGTTGTAAATTTTAAAATTATTTATAAATAAAATACATTTTCCATAAATTTTTATATTGAAATTTTGGTAGTTTAACTTCCATGAATCACGTCTCTACCTCCCATACTATTATTAAATTGTTCTTTTCACATAAATGAGAGTGTTTTATGGATTCCGGATGTGAGTGAATATATGAATAAAAATAGCAATATATTATACTAGTTTTGAGTTAACATTCAAGCATGAATTTATCTTTTAGGCTCTCTGCAATAATATACAAACCATCTATGGAATTTTTCATGAATTAAGCTCAAAATCTACTATTCTTCATTGTCTTGTCACGGTTCTAATGGTGACTTTTCGTCTTTATGTTTAGAAAATATTCCACATATTCGATGGTAGGTAATAAAGGAATTGATAATGATATTCAATAAATTGCCCTGCAATTTGATTTGAAAAACAACTAAAAGTACATTGTGCTAAATTAATGACTAAGTAAATGAAATTGCCTTTTACTTTGTGAATCTTTTGTAACAATAATTCTGGAATGAGGACTCTTTTGATTCAATTTGCTTTGTCTTATTCATAACGATTCTTTATGCTTTTTTGATAAGGCCTGATTAAACATTAGCTCCTCAGCATTTAAAATTAATAAATAAGCAAACACTTACCATCAAGGCATCCAATATTGATCCATCATCCTCGTCACTCGAATCACGTTGCAATGGGCGCCAAGTATTAGGAGACATGTTTATCGGTTCGTTATTTTGGGCTGTATGAGGCGCTTCGCGCAAAAAGCTTTCTACAAAAAAAAAATGTTTTACAAAATTTAAAAATATCTAATTTGCTTAGAGCACTATTGTTTGGAGAATTATCTAGGAAGAAGGTGAGTAGTGAGTTATAAGTCACACAGAAAAGACTAATTTTAATAGGTGAACTTATAATGAGTTATAGGCTACAATATTCATTTGACATCAAACACATCAAAGCAATTACAGTGACATTGACATGACAGTTTTAGATAATAGCTATTTATATAACAAATACATAAAGTAAAGCTTCATTGTACGAATAGCTATTAAATAATGAGTCAATAAAGCCTGTCTATGTAAGCGTTATATACATGATTTTGATTTATTTACCAGGTTTACCACGGCGATGTGAAAGAGGAGGCATTGTGGCATTGGATGGAGCTGGCCGATAATGAAGACAGTTACCTAAAAGAAAAAATGTTCTACTCTTTAAAATGTTTACAAGATTGAACATTACATACTTAGGATACTATTAAAAAAAAAATATTAGAAAGTTAGTTTATAAAGTTTAATAGTTTTACCAATTATACAGGTATTGTATCTGATATAAACAAACAGCATCTTCTTCTAAATTCCTTTAAATTAGGAGAATGCTTAACATCATAAGGTAACTCATTGTAAGTTTTTAATCCAATATGAAAAACATTTCTTTGATCAAAATTCCTCCAAACAGTGGGAATATAAAAATTGTCTGCATTTCTAGTGTTTCGATCGTGTACACCGCTGCGAACGGGTATACAAAAGCCTTGTAGATTCTCTGGTAAGGATCCCTGCACAATTTTGAATATAAAAATAAGTGTTTGTATTAAATTGTTTGTTTCACACTTAGAACCCCCATGGCATGTGATATTGTCTTTATTCTTGTAGTGACGCCGATTACAGTTAAGAATAACATGTAGTGCCATGTTTTGTCTCTTTTGTATCTGTGCAATTTCAGAGTTAGTTAAAGTGAACAATACTGTCGGACAATAGAACAAATGTGGTTGTATGACAGATTTATACATTAAAGTTTTTGCCCATGCAGTAAGAGTATTACGCAGACAACCCAATGCATATACTTTCTTCGTTATTCTCTTGTCACATAGGTCGCATGGTTGGTAAAAGTTAGATGTTGCTCCCAGATACTTGAATTCCGTCACTTTTTCTATTTGAATGCCATCTATTTCTATACCGTGATGTAATTGGTCCTCTCGCGCCGTGCCCCTATTTTCCACCATCATAAACTTAGTCTTTTAAATACATATTTAATTTCAGATTATTGTATAGTAACCACCTTGAAATGGATTTAAGTTGTTTGTTAATGGTTTTGACTATGTGTTGTACATTATTTCAAATCAAGTACAACAATGTATCATCTGCAAATAGTTTTATGTTACAATTTTTTGTGTATTTTACAATGTCGTTAATGTATATAATGAACCAATCTGGACCCATTACAGTCCCTTGTGGCACTCCCAGTGTGATTTCCCTACTCGATGATTCGGTGTTGCTATATCTCGTTTTCTGTGTCCTGTTCTGCAAGTAACTCAATCCATCCTAAAGCATTTCTACAGAGTCCTAAACGCTCTAATTTTTTTATCCATAATGGCCTACTTATGGTTCCTTCAAACGCCCCACGATAATCAAGGAAAACGGCCTCAATGAATAGATTCTCTTGCAATGCAGATTTCCAATTGGCCAAAACATTTTGAAGAGAGGTCTCAAAGCTGTTATTCTTTCTAAATCCTGCCTTGTTAGAGTTATTTTGTGGAATAAAGCCAGAATAAAGTTTTACTATTAGAAATAAACTAAAGATTTTATTAATAACTAAAACATTCTACCATGAAGATTACAACATTGCTATATCGATAAGCTCACTTTGTTGACATTACTACTAACATCTGACAGATATGGTTGTGACCATTGATACTACTAGAGCAGGCGTGGCTAAACGAACACTTATCCTAACACTCCTCCTCGATTTACAAAAACTTAAAATTGTACATTGCAAAATATCAGCTCTCTATGTTTACAAAAACGAACTTACAACCCTAGAAAACTAATATCTAAAGAATTTAACATTTTTCAATTTTAACTAAAGAACAAATATTATTGAATTTTTCCTTACACAAGGGTTTTGTCAAAATTTCACTGTTAACATACTGCACATCTAAGACTTTCTTTAACAACAAATCTTTGATAAAATGTTCTTTAATGTCAATATGTTTTCCGCGTTTCGAATTTGCATAACTTTTTGCGATCGAAATCGCACTCACATCATTTTTTGCGTTATATTTTCAATTTTGCAAAATTCCGAAATTATCCCTTTCAAGTTCACTACTTCTTGTGCTGAAGCCGCCCCTGCCACGTATTCTGCCTCTGCGGTAGACAGCGCCACACATGTTTGCTTCTTATAAAACCAGCTGATTGGATTCCTAGCATACAGTACTATAGAGCCACTTGTACTCTTTCTGTCGGTCTTGTAGGAATATGCTACTAAGTTTTCTGCACCCCTCGTATACATCAATCCAGTATCAACAGTATTTTTCAAATACCTCATAGTTGGGGAGCTGGCGTCAAAACCATGCAAGAGTTTTCGCAAGGCTGATATTTTCAAAATAGGTCGTACTTTAGTGCTAGAATGCTAGTGTACAGTCAGCACTCACAGTTCCGGGACAGCTGGCTCTGGGACGCGGGCAAAGTTGTAATTTTAAGAAGCATCTAAACTGTTTTCTCAAAGCTCAAAATTTATAGAAATTTTGCACATTATCTGTTTGAAGGTCACAGATAACGTATGTAAATCGTCAGACGTCTAGTTCGTTGCAAAAAGGGGGTCAGACGTCCTCAAAGTTTTTATTTTATGGCATTTTCTTCGGTGTCCTGTCAAAATATATTTTTGCAGGTATTTGACAAATATATTTGAAGAAAATGCCATAAAATAAAAACTTTGAGGACGTCTGACCCCCTTTTTGCAACGAACTAGACGTCTGACGATTTACATACGTTATCTGTGACCTTCAAACAGATAGAGTGCAAAATTTCTATAAATTTTGAGCTTTGAGAAAACAGTTTAGATGCTTCTTAAAATTACAACTTTGCCCGCGTCCCAGAGCCAGCTGTCCCGGAACTGTGAGTGCTGACTGTACACTAGCATTCTAACACTAAAGTACGACCTATTTTGAAAATATCCGCCTTGCGAAAACTCTTGCATGTTTTTGGCGCCACCTCCTGGACTATCAGGATTCTTTTGCCTGCAGTCCACAACACTTGAGTTGGTTTGTCCAAATATCGACTAAAATAGGACACCGCATACAAAATATCCGGTCTGGAAGTGCATGCAAAGTACATCAGCGATTTCTTCTGATTTTTCAACTTGAAAACCTGTTATCATAGGTGTTGACACTCCTTTACAGTCTGCCATACCAAAATCTTGTAGAATTTTATTAATATACTTTTTCTGAGTGATACTCATGTTTTCAGAAGTTCTTGATATCTCCATTCCAATGAATCTTCTAATTTCACCCAAATCTTTGGCATTGAGTTTGTTCTTCAAATTATTAACTACATCCTGTACTTTATTTTTGTCTCCTGTGATAATTTAATAATCTACAAAAACAATAAGCCACACATTTTTCTTTTTATAAAGACAGAAATCATACTGAGATCTTTCAAAGTCTAAATCTTTCATTATCTCATTAAATTGGTTATTCCAACACTTTGGACTCTCCTTCAGCCCATACAGAGCTCTGTTGAGCTTCAAAACTTTGTTTTTGTCTTCATTTACGCCGTCTGGTATTTTTATGTATACTTCAGATTCAAGTTTTCCATTCAGAAAAGCACTTGGAATGTCAAGTTGACGTACATTCCAATTCTGTTGTAGAGCATGTACTAGAAATGCTCTAATCGTTGACAATCTGGCAACTGGTGCATACATAGGTGTAAAATCATTCTCCTCCTGAATCTAGAAGCCCTTGGCTACTAATCGAGCCTTCTTTGTACCATCTTCCTTTGTTCGGAAGACCCATCTTGTATCAATTGCGTATTTATTTTCAGGAAGTTTAGACAAAGTCCAAGTTTGTAGATTGCTAAGAGACTTCAATTCATGGTTGATGGCATCTTGCCATTCAGAACTTTTCTGAGCTTCTGAAAATGTTTGAGGATCCTCCTGTGATTCTGTAAGATCCAAATATGTAGCATATATCTCATAATTTTGAAGATACTGAGGTTTATGTACCTCTACCAGTTCTTGTTAGAACAGGCTCTGCATCAGCTATCTCCTCCTCAATTTCTATTTGTACATCTTCAAAGTCACTGCTGTCTTCATTTTGAACAGAACCAAACTTAGAACTTTCATCAAAACTATTTTCTTCATTTTGTTCTTCATTCTCTTTAATTTCTACTGGCCATACAATTGTTTTGTCTTCTTTTATCTCTGTATTTCTTTCTTTGGTATTTTTCTCTATCTCTTTTCCTTCAAAAAACACAACATCCCTACTAAAAATAATTTTCTTAGTATTCAGATTAATCTGCAGTCTGTATCCTTTTTTATTTTCTCCATAACCCATAAAAAGCAACTTCTGTGATTTAGGATCCCATTTTTTCCTCAACTCATCTGGCACATGTGCCATAGCTTCACAACCAAAAATTTTCAGCTCTGATAAGTTAGGTTTTTCCTTATTCCGGACTTCATAGGAAGCTTTCCCAAGTACTGCTTTTGTTGGTGATCTATTTATGAGATAGACTGCAGTGTTAACTGCTTCGCCTCAATATTCTTTCGACAAACCAGCATCAGACAACATACTACGAGCTCTCTCATAAATTGTCCTATTCGCCCTCTCACTAATCCCATTTTGTTGGGGAGTGTATCGAACAGTTGTCTGGTGTATAATACCAGAGTCATCAAGTACCTTCTTGAATTTCTTATTCACATATTCAGTACCATTGTCAGTTCTGAGCATTTTTATTTTAGAGTCAATCTGATTCTCAACAACTTGCTTAAATTGTTGAAAAACTACAACTACTTGACTTTTTTCTGATAGAAAATATAAATCTTGAAAAATCATCAATTAGAGTGAAAATGTACTTACAGCCGCCTATTGATGCTACTTCCATTGGCCCACAGAGGTCGCTGTGAACCAGCTGTAGAATCTTACTTGACTTTCTCATGCTGCAATGGAATGGCTTTCGACTATGTTTGCCTTCGACACAGGAAATACACGGCTCTGAAGATATATTTATTTTGTTCAAATCAGTAGATATACTTGCCAGCAACTGCATTGCCTTTCTATTCAAGTGGCCAAGTCTTCTGTGCCATAAATCACTTGAGTGTTCACTTACACAAGAATACATTGGTAGACCTGAGGTAGACCTCCATTTTGACAGACATTGGTATTGGTACTTAACTGATAAATACCATTTTGCTCAAACCCTGTTGCAACAACTTGGTTCGACATGTCAATAATCCGTGCTCCAGACTTGTCAAAAATGACCTTGTGCCCTTTTCGCACAATTTTACTGATCGACAACAAATTTACTGCAGGAGCATACATAACCTCATTTGCAGGAACCACCTTATCTTGACAATTTATTTTCACACTGATGTCCACTGTCCCTTTCGATACAATGTTTATGTCACTATTACTTGCAGTCTTAATTTTGCCACTGTTTTTGGTAGAATTCATTAACCAGTCATTATTTTTACTCAAATAGACAGAGGCACAAGAGTCTAAGAACCATGCATCACTGTTTACTTGCTTTGAAGATAAACATGCTAGAAAAGCTGTGTTGTTACTTTTCTTTCTTTCACCCTGATTACCTTGTGAGTTGCCTGCTCTACATTGAAACTTATAGTGACCCATTTTGCCACATCCGAAGCACTTCACTTTGTTTCTTGTGAACTTTTTACCTGAATCTCTTTCTGAGTACATTCTTGCATTCGAGCCAGCTGATTTTGGATCAGAACTTGATTTAACATCTTGCAGCAACTTCACTTTAATTGAATCACCTGTAATCTGTGTTCCACTACTCTCAAGACCCATTGTCATTGGCCTGTATTCTTCCGGCAACCCTGCCAGCAAGAGAGTGCCGACCCACTCATCGTCCACTTTGAAATTCATTGCATTTAACTTATGTGATGTTGAAATGATGGTGTCACAATATTCTTCTACTGAACTACAGTCTTCTAATTTGGTAGTTACTAAAGCCCTTAAAAGACCAACCTTTCTTGTTAGTCCTGAATCTTCAAAAGCTTTTTCTAAGTTTTGCCAAGCATCTTTAGCTTTTGCAGCAGTCTTCAAATGGGAATAATTTAACTTATTCACAGACAAGATTATTTTAGAAAGTGCTTTCTTGTCTTTCTTCTCATCCACTTCGGTACCTTCGACAACTTTCCACAAGTCATCTAATTCTAAAAGTGCCTTCATAGCGAACTTCCACTCGCTATAATTGTTCCGACCAGTCAATTTATCAATTGACACAAATGATGATGAACTGCTTGCCATTTTCTTTTGAGTGTTAGCACAAAACAAAACTTTTAATTTACACACTGACTTTTGGCATATCTGGGACCATAACCTGTTAGAGTTATTTTGTGGAATAAAGCCAGAATAAAGTTTTACTATTAGTAATAAACTAACGATTTTATTAATAACAAAACATTCTACCATAAAGATTACAACAATATTGCTATATCGATAACCTCACTTTGTTGAGGTTACTAACATCTGACAGATATGGTTGTGACTATTGATACTACTAGAGCAGGCGTGGCTGAAGGAACACTTATCCTAACATGCCTGGTAAGTTGTCAGTAGTCTATTGTCTTCTATTATTGAATAAGTTGTTTTTTTACACTTCTAATAGCTTTTCATATATCATCAGTACCATATTTATGGGTCGGAAATCTTGGCAAAGATTGGAATTTCTTTTTTTTTATTGGAGTGGCACTTCTAGAAATTGATGCCCAATGGCTTCGAATGATAGTTTTAAAATCTTTGTGTTTATCCAATCTATACTATTTATTTTTGTTTTGTAAATTTTTTACTGTGTTTTTCAAATCTGCAAATTCAATTGTGAAATTGCGTATTCCACATTGCACTTGGTTCATCTTTGAGATAACTTCCATGAAAGTTGTTTCATTGCATAGTAACTTACTTGTTATTTCTGTCACACTATCAATAAAATACGCATTGAAACCCTCTGCAACAGTACTTTGTTCGGACTACAGTTTTCCATCAAATTCAATTCCATCTTTCAGTGTAGGTAAAATTTGCATGATCACTTGTTATTTCTTTTATGACCTTCCACATTTTTTTGCTATCATTTTTTGCTTCGTCTATTTTATCTAAGTAATACTGTTATTTAAGTAACCGAACCTTATTCAATATTAGGTTTCATTTCTGTCTGAACCTATCTCAGTCTTCTCTGTTTTGTGTTATAACTGCTCTTCTATAATATATCATGTCTCGTTGCTTTAATTCTTCCCCTATTTCATCTGTCCACCATTTTTTGTTACCCCATTGCTGTCTTATTTTAATTTTTTTTAGTGGAACATGTTGGTTTACAGTATTGGATATGTTGGCCACTAGAGGTTGTGATGTTTCCTCTAAATATAATTTAAAGTTCCATACCTTATCCATTAGATCAAACTCTAATTCCAGTTCATTAAATCTGCTGTAATCACGCATTGTCTTTTCTTCCGTTTCATATTTTGTTTTTCTATCTAATTCCAAAGTTATAATCACATGATCTGTAATTTTTGGTGTTAAATGTGTTTCAAAATTAATGTCTTCACATCCAGTAACCAATAAATCTATTATTGAGGCTCCTTCTCCAGTAATTCTCGTAAATTTATCCATTTGTTGGTTTGTATAAACAAGTTTTTCAATGGTGCACTTCTTGTCTTGGCCATGTGCTGAAACTTCCAACAATTAAAACACTGAATCACATTTACATAATCCACATATTTGCAAGTCCTCCTTTATTGTTTTCTTAAGACATAATTGTGTATATGTAGAGGAGTCGATTTCAAGGACTATATTTGTCTTTTCTTCTTTGGTTTCATATACAGGGTGTCCCACGGTGGATTAAATTTTGAAAATTTGGCAACCGGGATAAACGACCATAATCTACACTTTAAAAATATTTTTTTTTTATGCGGTGTTGCCGCTCCAAACCAGTGGCAACATCGCTATTTTAAATTGAACACCCTATATGTGATTTCATATTTGGATTCTACATAAAATTCTGAACAGATTTCATGTGATATACCCTATACCTAAGTTCAACTGTTTTGGACAGTTGAAAATTGACTTTTTGCAACTTTGACAGGCTGTAAAACCTAAACGGTTAATTTTAGAGGAAAACCGATTTCACATTCCTATTTTAGATTTTTATAAACTATCATCTGACATCAACTTTGAATTTATTCCATGATTAAAAATTCCAATTAAATTTAATCTCCGGTTAAATTCAAATTTGATGTCAAATGATAGTTTATGAAAATCTAAAATTAACCGTTTAGGTTTTACAGCCTGTCAAAGTTACAAAAAGTCAATTTTCAACTGTCAATATTTCCAAAACAGTTGAACTTAGGTATAGAGTATAACGCATGTAATCTGCTCAGAATTTCACGTAGAATCCAAATATGCAATCATATACAGGGTGTTCCATTAAAAATAGCGATGTTGCCACTGGTTTAGAGTAGAAGCGGCAACACCGCATGGTCAAAAATATTTTTAAAGTGTAGATCATGGTCGTTTATCCCGGTTGCCAAATTTTCAAAATGATCCGCTTTCTAGTTCTCCATAAACGTCTAATACGCCATCCACCGTGGGACACCCTGTATTTCATAAATTATACTGTCCTCTGTCGTTATTCTGTTTTGTTTTATTATTTTTTCTATCAAAATTTCTTCATTTTCTGCTGTTTTTCTGTACATTTAACACTTTAATTCTTGGATTTTTCTTTTCAGGTTCATTTACCTCATAATTTTGGCCCAATTGTTTCTCAATGTTTGGTTGTAAAATTTTTGATTCACTTTCTCTATTGCAAGTTATTGCTATGCCTCCTTCCCGCAGATATTTGACTCTGGTGATTCCCATACCTTACGCTGATGGGTCAATCTTCTCCTCTACTGCTTGTTTTGTAATTTCACTTGTTTGGTTCGTATCTTTTGGTTTTATTATAACGACACTTTCAGCTACTTTTTTTCATTTTAACTGCTCCACTGTATGTGCTTACTGATCTTCTAGGTACTCCTTTACTTGAGATTTTCCACTTCAGTCTTAAGATTTTGAATTACTCCTTCCTGGTATCCTATTATTTCCTCTTTATCGTCCAATCTTGCTTGCAATGAATTGATTGTATCATAATTAACGCATTTTTGACAAAAAAAATTCATAATTCGGGAATTTAGCTGTAACACTTTGACTTCTGATGAAGTAAGATTTCCACATGTCTTACAATGATCACACATAAAAACTTCTTTTTTCTGATTGGAGCACACATCGATTCCATTTTCGAATTAGCTGCAAAATCCACTCACTGTTATGGCAACGTCGCACTTGTATCAACAGCAAAGGATGTTTATTTTGAATAATTTTTGGGTTGTAACTTCCCAAAACTGGCCACCTTTATTTCCAACACTTTCAAATAATTTGTTGATTACATTCTAATAGTTTTTTGATTTAATATTCACTAAATTCAACGGTGTGTTATGATTTTTTCTCAGGTAAAACCACACATACGGTCACAGTGTTGCTGTCTTTTTAGAGTAAGTACTAGTACAGAAAAGTACAAGCTAATAGTGAGTTTTGGGCCACAATACTCATTTAAAATCAAACAATTATAGTTTCATTATAATATCAGTATTGAATAGAAATATTTTATTTACCAGGGCGAGATGAATGAGAAGGCATTGTGGCATGGGATGGTCCTGGCTGATGGTGAAAACAGTTAACTAAAAAAAAAATGTTCAACTCTTTAAAACTTCTACAAGTTTGAAAACTACTTGATTTACCTAGGGCACTACTGTTTGAAGAATTATTTAAAAATAACGTTGAATAGTTATTTATTAGTTATGTTACATATAAGTCACTACGAAAAAGCTGATTTTCCCAGGTATTTTTCAATAATTAGATGAACTTATAACAAGTTTTGACCCACTAGTGAGTTATGTTAGTATGGGATAAAAATATTTTACTTACTATGGAAAGGTGAAGGAGGCATTCTGGCATTTAATGGTCCTGGCTTACCTACAAAAAAAGCCGCCATGTTTTGAAAATACTTAATTAACCTAGCACTATTGTTTAAAGAATTATCCCTAAACAATGTTAATTTATAAAATTTAGAAACAGTTTACTTACCATGAGCAGGAAAAAGAGTGGATGGTCGTGTGACTGCTAAGTCTTCTGGGAGAGGGCCCAAACCATCTATAAAAAAAATGTTTGTTTGAAAAATATGCAAAACTCTTTGGTTTTAAGAAAAGTATATTAAAATATTTAAAAGGAGGTTATCCACCTCTGTCAAAACGTGGAACGACGGAGAGCGAGATGATCCTGGAACTGCCTCTGTACAAATACAAAAAAAAAAACATCCATTACAATTACTGTAAATACCGGGCTTAGAATTACCTGGGTCTGTGACAGGCGAATCTAGGATTTCTACAAAATCGTGCATATTCGGTTTGACTGGTGTTTTATTTGGGACAGGCGCATCATTGATTTCAACATTAAAATCCATTTTCTCGGGTGAATTATTTGCCTTTTGGGCCAGTGTTCCTTTGGAATTTACTGCGTGCAGAAAATCACGGAACGACTGGGAGCGAGATGGTCCTGTAACTGCCTCTGTGCAATTACAAAAAAAAAAAAAAAAACATTAATCACAATTACTGTAAATACCGTGCTTACAATTACCTGGGTTTGCGACAGGCAAATCATTGCTCTCAACAGTAAAGTTCATTTTCTCAGGTGTATTATTTGCCTCTTGGAGGAGTTTTTTTGGGGAATTTACTGCGTGCAGAAAAGCACGGAAGGACTCGGAGCGAGATGATCCTGCAACTGCCTCTGTGCAAATACAAAAAAAAAAACAGTCATTACAATTACTGTAAATACTGTGCTTACAATTACCTGGGTTTGTGACAGGCGAATCTGGGATTTCTATAAAATCGTGCATATTCTGGTTGACTGGTGTTTTATTTGGAACAGGGGAATCTTTGATCGCAATATTAAAATTAATTTTCTCGGGTGTATCGTTTGCTTCTTGGAGGAGTGTTTTTTTGGAATTTACTGCATGCAGAAAAGAACGGAACGACTGAGATGATTCTGCAACTGCCTCTGTGCAAATAAAAAAAAAAACATTAATTACAATTACTGTAAATACCGTGCTTACAATTACCTGGGATTGCGATAGGCGAATCTGGGATTCCTACAAAATCGTGCATATTCTGTTTGACTGGTGTTTTATTTGGGACAGGCGAATCATTGATCTCAACAGTAAAATTCATTTTCTCGGGTTTATTATTTGCCTCTTGGGGGAGTGTTCTTGTGGAATTTACTGCGTCCAGTCTTGGTTTGTAGGGTATATTATTTACCTCAGGATGTGGGTGTTTTGAACGATCATTATATGCAGCTATTCCATTGATGATTGCATCATTTATTGAAGTTAATTCTTCATCATTAAAAAAAATCTCTTCTTTATCCTGAAAAATATATGTAGGTATAGAGTACATGTTTAAGCTTTAAGACAGATTAATGAGTGTCATTTTTTAAGATAATTAACCGAAATGTGTGGAACTCAGCCTACACTACGAAATTCACAAATAGGGCCAATTTTCATCCATGAAAAAAAGTCACTAGTTAATTTGTCAAGTATTTTCTTTTATACTCACAATAGGTGAAATGAAATTTTACAATCAACTGTTGGAACTGGAAACTCCTTGATTTAGACAAAACAAAATTTACAGACAGCCAATATATCAAGAAACTTAATAGTCACTGTTAAAATAATATTCAAAGCAAATTTATCAATTATCTTTTTTCCATATCTCCAAGAATTTGCCCTTTTTGCAAAGTTTTATTAAGTGAATCGTCTGGTAAGCAAAGTTGTAGTAAGTCATGCATTGGGCAAAATCTTAAAACACTACACAATGCTTAGAAATAGAAACTGATCTTGAAAATTATTTGCATCCTTTCTTATTACCGTTATATCATGATGAACATTTTCTGCATTAGATTCATCAATCTCAGTTTTACTTATCTTTGTACTACTGACCTCTGGATTTTCATTAATATCATTCTCCGAATATCTTTTTTGTCCAAATTTTTGCCTGAAAGATAAGTTATAATCACGTCAAACTATACACCACCGATTCACAATCACAACTTTTTTATGTGAAAATTAATCAGTTGTCACATACACGCAACAAAGAAAGTTTTCCACCGCCTTGTAATATAACTATATGTAGAATGCTCATCGACAAATAAAAATATTGTAACCTTCAACTGTGCCTTTACTAAAAAAGGTTTAGGAATCTGAAATTGTTTACTATTTTTTTATTGATAATTTTTTAATTTAGATATAGGTGAATATTATAAAATGAGATGGTGCAAAACTTTTTTTGCTGTGTAAATTATCCAAAATAACTTGAAGTGCTGTACCTTTCACTATCCGGTTGCAATAGTTTGGCTACAATGAGGCTTCTATTACGAATAGGTCCAACAGTTTCCAGGATGAATATAATTTGATTTCTATTTACGTCTGGGAAAAACCATTCAAGTTGTAATAAATCGCGTTCAAAAGCTATTTTATATTCATCGCTATTAATATACTGATTACGGTTGAGAACTCTTTCCGAAAAATTATTGACAATTCTAAGCAAACGCACAGGTCTGGTTGCATCGTGGTGTTTTGCCAATTGCACTAGGATTTCTTCACGCTTTATGGTGGGTAGTAAATGCAAAAGGTGGGCGACTTCTTCTTCTACCTCCATCCTGGAAGCAAATTATGTTTTGTATTTTTTTAAGAAAGAGTTGAACATCTATTGAACTATTTAGTTACACAGTATCTGTGTCCCACATTAGTAACCAACTAGATATTTACAATAGATAAAATGCAGTGTTTACAAAAAACTATTTTTAGCAATAATTGTTGTACAGGCAGGTCTTGTATTTATGATTTAAGGTTCTTATCCTTGGATTCAAAATTAGAATATAAAGTTCCAATGTCTTTATGATTGGTAGAAATAATTGAAATATTTATTTGGTAAAATGGCTGAAATATAGGCAATCAATCATAAATTTATGTATGAAATTGAAATTTCTTTTACCCAATTGGCAAATTAGCTATTATAGTCTAATAGGATATCGAATTGTACATTTAAAAGTAATATTATTATATCACAAACCACTAAAAATATTCTTGAAAATGAAATAGTAATAAATATATACTAGTATATCATCAAAAAATTCTAAGTATGAAATCTGCAATGGATAACTACAAAACATAAAAAACGAGAACAAAATCCTGGACTAAAAACCATCCGTCATGCAAAACACCCAGATGATATTTTCTTTGGAATACTGACAATGTGAAAACTCAATTCACTGTCAATAATAAGTCCCAGAGACTTAGTTTCAGGTTGAGATTCGATAAAAACATTGTGGGTATTGGCGAGTCCTGCTGGTAAAGCAGGGTTCAATATTTGTTAATTTAATTTTCCTACTAGGAAATGTAGTATAAAAATTTTGCATTTATTTGTTGTGAAACTCCCCAACTTTACTAAAAACGGTATTATAATCAGACAAGGCGGCATTAATAATCATAACTGAGCAGTCAAACATTTCAAAACAATGACACGAGTTGGACATAGGGATACACATAGTATTTTGAATGTAGAAAATGTTGAGATAGCCGTTGGAGAATTTTATTCTATTCTCTATAGAGGTATTGAAATATATGTTCCAGAAAAAAGATCTAAAAATAAGAGGTTACCTGGTTGGTATAGTGATGAGCTAAAATCGACTATTCTAAATAAGAAAAGGTTACATACATTGTGGAAGAAAACACATAATACGCAATTCTATGGGAAGTTTTGTGATTTAAGAAGACAATTTAAAATTTTGATAAAACAATGCTATGATCATTATGCATTATGTCATTGATGAGTATTACCAATGATAGTGGGACTTTCTGGAAATTTGTAAATGTGAAAAATAGTAACTATGACTTGCCAAATTGTATGAGTTTGAATGGTAAAACTACACACGAGCCCCAGGAAATTGTACAGTTCTTTACGAAATTTTTTGGGTTTGTTTATAGAAAGATAGACTGTGGTGTACCAGAGGTAGATTGTGATAGAACCCTTGATATTAATACTTGTAATATAAATGTAATGGATGTATTCAACTCGATCGTAAATATGTCCTGATGAATTACCTGCGCAACTTTCTAAGGAGTGTAAATATACAGGGAGTCCCACGAGGCTTTTCCCAAATGATAACTTCGGAACGCACCATCGTATGTTCCACTGTATAATTTTTTATTATTTTCTATAACAAAGCCTTAACAAATATGGCATCGACGATTTTGTAATTTAATTTTCCAACGAAAAATGCCATAATATACCATAAGTTACATTTAAAATTCGAAAGTTCATGTCAGTTGACCGAAATTGAAGCGAAAGTGGTGAAATTGGAAAAACAATGGTAGAAGTGGCACAAAAAGTTACCCAGATTCTCAAAATTTCAATTATATTGGATGACGCGTTCCGAAATTATCACCTGAGAGAAACGTCGTGGGACACCCTGTATATTGTCTGGAATTTTAGTAAAATTGTATAATGTATCTTTGTCATCTGGAACATTCCCTTCACAATGGAAGGATTCTCGAGTAACTCCAATTTTCAAGAATGGCAATAAATCTTTGGTTAATAATTATAGACCAATTGACAGGGTGCAGCATGATATTTTGTTACACAAATTGGAGTGTCTAGGTTTTCATGGTTCAATTCTGGCTTGGTTTAAGAGGTATTTATCAGACCGTATGCTGGCAGTTAAGATAAAGAATGTGATATCGTCCAGTATTAATGTGTTATCTGGAGTGCCCCAAGGACTCGCCCAAAGATCACATTTTGCACCAATACTTTTTAACATTTTTACGAGGTTTTATGCTATAAACTTTGTGATTGAGAACATCAAACACCTTATTTTGTGAAAGTTATCAAACAGGTGCTATTGTGTTACTCTTATGGTGGGTTTATAGCATAGACTGTTATAAAACACATAACATGACAAGAAATAATTTTCAACAAATGAGCAGAAAGAAAATGATCACGTGGGATATCACATATTTTCTGTCACTTTATCAAACTCAAACACAAAAGAGTCATGTCAGTCAAAGTCAAATTCTCAATAGAACATGCTCAGATTCATTTTCACTCAAAATAAGACAATCAAAAGACATAAAATTTAAAAGTTAACCAACTTTATTATGTCCTATGTTATGTTATTTTATGTATAAAGGACAGGAACGAGGGGCGGTTCAGTCCCAAAATCGCTGTACATTTTCATCCGAAATCGCGAAGAGCGAAATCCCAACCAAAATCCTTCTGAAATCACGAAATCCTTACCGAAATCCCAATAGATTTATTGAAATCCTTAGTGGTACAGCATTGCAAGTCGAATATTCTTTCGAAATCCCTTAAAAATTGACAAAATCCCCTGCAATTTTCGAAATCGATGTACAAATTGTGGTGAGTAGGCCGCCCCTCGGACAGGGATTTCCATAAAGCCAATTTTTTATTGTATCTTATGTTATGTCTGTATAAACCCACTATTATTTTTTGTGTTTCAACAACGAATTCCTCTATGTTGAGTATTATATGCAATTATTATTGTGGTCTACCTAAGGTCTATAAACCTAGCAGTCCCAAGGTGGAAAAAAACTTCGGGATCTATATAATAATTAGGTGCTTTTTAGATGCTAATTAGGGCCTCTAATTAAAAATTAGGTGCTCCTTTAGTTTCTGAGAAAATCAAAAAAAAACTAAGGGACTGCTAGGTTTACAGAAGCTAGCAGTCCCCTATAGTAAAAAATATTTTTTCAATTTTTTTCTTTGTATCAGAATTAGGTGCTTTTTAGGTGCTCCTAAATAGTCCAAGAAAAAATAGAATTGATTAATTATTAACTGAGTTACAGATTTTTTTTTTTAATTATTAGGGGACTGCTGGCTTTACGTTTACATGTTGGTGTGTCAAAATGGAAAAAAAACTTCGGGATCTATATAATAATTAAGTGCTTTTTAGGTGCTAATTAGGGCCTCACGTTGGTACATTTGGCGTTTTCAACTTTGAAAATATATAATTTTTTAAATATATTTTTTTGAAATACATACAGGGTGTCCCACGGTGGATGGCGTATTAGACGTTTATGGAGAACTAAAAAGCGGATCATTTTGAAAATTTGGCAACCGGGATAAACGACCATAATCTACACTTTAAAAATATTTTTGTTTATGCGGTGTTGCCGCTTCTACCCTAAACCAGTGGCAACAGCGCTATTTTAAATGGAACACCCTGTATCTGATTACATATTTGGATTTTAAGTAAAATTCTGAGCAGATTTCATGTGATATACCCTATACCTAAGTTCAACTGTTTTGGAATTATTGACAGTTGAAAATCGACTTTTTGCAACTTTGACAGGCTGTAAAACCTGAACGGTTAATTTTAGAGAAAAACCGATTTTACATTCCTATCTTAGATTTTTATAAACTATCATTTGATACCAACTTCAAATTTAATCCATGATTAAAAATTCCAATTAAATTTAATCTCCGGGTAAATTCAAAGTTGGTGTCAAATGATAGTTCATGAAACTGTAAGATAGGAATGTGAAATTGGTTTTTCTCTTAAATCAACCGTTCAGGTTTTACAGCCTGTCAAAGTTGCAAAAAGTCAATTTTCTGTCAATAATTCCAAAACAGTTGAACTTAGGTATAGGGTATATCACATGAAATCTGCTCAGAATTTTACGTAGAATCAAAATATGTAATCACATACAGGGTATTCCATTTAAAATAGCGTTGTTGCCACTGGTTTAGAGTAGAAGCGGCAACACCGCATAAACAAAAATATTTTTAAAGTGTAGATCATGGCTGTTTACCCCTGTTGCCAAATTTTCAAAATGATCCGCTTTTTAGTTCTCCATAAACGTCTAATACGCCATCCACCGTGGGACACCCTGTATATTTTCAGCTTTTATTTACAATAAAAATTAAAATCGCGTATGTAGCCCTTTCCAAGAAATACCATGAAATGACTTTTTTTATATAAATTAGTGGTCAATAGGCTTAATTAATGTTCTAAGCGTGTGTTCTGGTTGAAATATCAATCCAATACATATAATATGTGAAAAAAAGATAACATGAGGATTTGACAAAATTATATTAATTAAGCATAAGCTTTATTTTAGTCAATCTAATCATAACCCAAAATAAAGTAATGCAAAATTTAAATAAAAATTTCTATTCTTATGGTGTAAAACAAAATACCCTTGATATACTCTATCATGTGGAAATAAAATGTAGGTAGATTATAGTGATTATTTCATTCATTATAAAATATACCCATCAGACAACGTCATTTTTTGAATGAATTTTGTTTAAATAAGTGATTATTTCACAAGACCTTGTTTATCAGCGATTAAATTTTTGTTTACCTTTTTTGACAGATTTTTGATAGAAATACTCTGACATTTTATAATAAATAGAACTCTTTGGATAGGATTGATGCCAACAATTCAATCTTAATTATTCAGGAAATAATCTAGCCGTATACCACTCGACCTATAAATTTAAATGGATTAAACTATCCAAATATTTTTTGCATAATTTTGCTTTTTGGCAAATAGTTTCATGCACAATAACTTTTAAATAAAAGCCCTCGACCGCTTCGCGGTCTAGGGCTTTTATTAAGTTATTGTGCATTCAACT